TTCAATCTGTAAAATGCCCCCAGTTTTGGTCGAAATAATCAATTTTTAACTGTTTGGTAGATTTTAAGTGGGAAAACATATTTATTCCCAGTTGCTCACCTTGGAAGTTTTTTCGATTTTCCATCCAGTTTAATATGTTAAAAATTTCGATAGGAGAAAATTCTCCCCAGAACAGTTTTTTGAAGGGTTTTCCTATTTCAGAAACTCAAAAATTATTTTCAAGATTTTTGATGTTTAAATTAAAGACTAAAGTCAAGTTTAAATATTTGGAATATTCCATGAAATAATTAAGAGTCTAACAATTATTTTAAAATATTCAGGCACTTGGTCAAAATATGAAGCATTAAAACAAACGAAAAATATATATTAGCAATTTTTTTATGTTTTTGAGTCCAAATATTTTTATTGAAGATTTTCCAGAGGATTGTTTAAGTCTGGATCATTTCCCCATTGGCTTAACTCTATATTTCTCTCTTTACTGAGGGCAATGTTTTTGAAGATTTTCAAAAATTTTTCGATAGGTTTAAAATAATTTTTTTAAATTTTAAAAACATTTCTGAATCTGAAAAACGACAAGGATGGACCAACATTGTAACTTTTTTATATTTTTTTACTTGAATTTTTTTTTAGGTTTTCTAATGAAAGACAGGCTTTAAGACATGCTCTAGCAAATGGTCTTATACCCCATTTTTGGAGGAAGAGAAACAATCATTAAAAAAAAAACTAGAAATAAATTAAATAAGGTTCAAAATATATTTGAATGTAAACTGTCTTCTGCCAAAGTTTCCGAATATGAATGGGAAGATATTCGAAATACATGCGTCAGCTAATTATACTAAAACGGTATTTTTTTTTCGAAAATTCTTGTCTGGCACCGATGTTGCCTGGGGTACACTTTCATATAATTTCGAAACTGTAAAATTTTGAATAATTTCAAAACTGTTGAAAAATGTAATTTTTAGCCCCACTCCGGAATGATTTTGAAAGGAATTTCTGGCCACTTCCTTGCAGGCCATTGCAACTCAGAAAGAGTAGTTTTCAGACTATTTTTTTTTTTTTTTTTTGGAAATGTTACACATCTCTTAAACCCCTAAGATAGCCAGAGTAGCATTTTTGGGAGGGAGAAAAACAAACAATTTCGAAACGGTAAAATTTTGAATAATTTCAAAACTGTTGAAAAATTTAACTTTTCGTCTGCTGGACCCCACTCCGAAAGGGCTTTGAAAGGAATTTCTGGCCACTTTGGCGCTGGTCGCTGCAACTCTGTGAGGAGTAATTTTCAGACAAATGTTTTGAAAATGAGTACACAACCATTTAACCAGCGGCGTAGCAAGGGGCGGCTTAGAAAGCGCTGCCCGCTCCGAAATGGCAAATTTTAAATAATTTCAGAAAAAGTTTTTCTGAAAAAAATCCATTTTTTTTTTGTGTCACCTGCTGCATCGGTGCTGACCCCTCTCTCCATCTCTGATATAACTGAGTTAAGCCTCTACAATTTAGATGTAAAAAATTATCTCCTTATATTGGTGCGTTGTGAAGGTCCAGCCGAAGTGGATGTAATTTAATAAATAACCAGTAAGGAAAGCTCAAAAGTCGGGCGGGGCCGACTATATGATACCCTACACCACTATGCATATTTAGTAGAGCTCTCGTAAAAAGGTTTATACAGGGCATTTCAGAGCTCTATGAGATATTTGGTACAAAATCAAAATCTATCTAATTCTATCGTGCATTTTACGAACTATAGCTATATCTGAACCGATTTTCACCAAGTTTGATGTATTTGATTCTAGGCTGAATTCGGTCAGATTTGCCAAAACCCAGGACATTTGGGCTGATATTGGACATTTGGTGCGCAATCAACACGAAATTGGATGAATATATATATAGGAGGTATATCCAAATCTGAACCGATATTTGTAAAACTGAAAAAGAAGATATTTCTTGGCTGCATCTGATACCAAATATTATTCTTGTATCGTACATTTTTCGAATTTGAGGGACTTAAAGTACAAATCGGATGAAAGGTATATATAGGAGCTATAGCTGTATCCGACCGATTTTCACTAAATTTGATGTACCAATATTAGCCATTTGCTGCACATTTAATCCGAAATCGGATGAAGATGTATTTGGGAGCTATAGCTATATCTGAAACGACTTTTACTAAAATTGGTGTCCTTGCTTCTAGGCTGAATTTGGGCAGATATGCCAAAATTCATGCCATTTCGGTTGATATTGGCCATTTGTTGCACAATTAACTCGAAATCGAATGAAGATACATATGGGTGCTATATCCAAATCTGAACAGATTTTGAGAAAATTAAAAGCGACTACTTTTGGGCTTTATCTGATATCTGGTACCAAATATCATTCCTGTGAAGAGTATGCTATGCTATACTATATCCAAATCTGAACAGATTTTTATAAAATCAAAATCGACTATTTTTGGGCTTTATCTGATATCTGGTACCAAATATCATTCCTGTGAAGAGTATATTACGAATGTAAGGGACTTAAAGAGCAAATCGGATGAAACATATATATGGAGCTAGAGCTATATCTGAACCGATTTTTACTAAAATGTGTGTACTTGCTTATAGGCTGGTTTCGGTCGGATTTGCCAAAATTCATGCCATTTGGGCTGATATTGGCCATTTGATGCACAATTAACACGAAATCGGATGAAGATATATATGGGAGGCATATCCAAATCGGAACAGATTTTAATAAAATTAAAATCAACTATTTTTGGGCTTTATCTGATAACTGGTACCAAATATCATTTCTGTGGAGTGCATATTACGAATGTGAGGGATTTAAAGACGAAATCGGATGAAACATATATATGGGAGCTATAGCTATATCTGAACCGATTTTTACTAAAATTGGTGTACTTGCTTTTAAGCTGGTTTCGGTCGGATTTGCCAAAATTGATGCTATTACGGCCATTTGGTGGTCAATAACCCGAAATCGGATGAAGATATATATGGGAGCTATATCCAAATCTGAACCGATTTCGATAAAATTTAAAACAGTTATTCCTGTGCTCCATCTAATACCTGGTACCAAATATCACATGTAAGGGACTAAAACACTAAATCGGATGAAACATATATATGGTTGCTATATCTGTATCTGAACCGATTTTCACTAAATTTGATATACTTGCTTCTAGGCTGAATTTAGTCCGATGTACTAAAATTCAGTCCATTTGGACTTATATCGGCCATTTGGTGCACAATTAACCCGAAATCGGATGAAGATATATATGGGAGCTATATCCAAATCTGAACCGATTTCGATAAAATTACAAACAGCTATTTCTGGGCTGTACCTTATATCTGGTACCAAATATCACGGTTGTGGAGTGAACATTACGAATGTAAGGGACTAAAACACTAAATCGGATGAAACATATATATGCTTGCTATATCTATATCTGAACCGATTTTCACTAAATTTGATATACTTGCTTCTAGGCTGAATTTGGTCCGATGTACTAAAATTCAGTCCATTTGGGCTTATATCGGCCATTTGGAGCACAATTAACCCGAAATCGGATGAAGATATATATGGGAGCTATATCCAAATCAGAACCGATTTTCTCCAAATTTGTTGTATTTACTTTAAGGCTAATCTCGGTCACATGTGCCAAAATTCGGGCCATTTGGGCTGATATTGGCCATTTGGTGGTCAATTAACCCGAAATCGGATGAAGATATATATGGGAGCTATATCCAAATCTGAACCGATTTCGATAAAATTTAAAACAGCTATTTCTGTGCTCCATCTAATACCTGGTACCAAATATCACGGTTGTGGAGTGCATAGTAGGAATGTGAGGGACTTAAAGATCAAATCGGATGAAAGATATATATGGGAGCTATAGCTATATCTGAACCGATTTTCTCCAAATTTGATATACTTGCTTCTAGGCCGAACCCGGTTGGGTGTGCCAAAATTCAGGTAATTTGGACTGATAGTGGACATTTGGTGCTCATTTAACCCGAAATCGGATGAAGATATATATGGGAGCTATATCTAAATTTGATCCGATTCTCACCAATTTCAATAGGGTTCGTCCTTGGGCCAAAAAAATATTGTTTGGAAAATTTCATCTCAATCGGATAATAAATGCGACCTGCATTTTGTTCACAAGAATACATGGACAGACGGACGGACGGACGGACGGACGGACGGACGGACGGACGGACGGACGGACGGACGGACGGACGGACAGACGGACGGACATGCATAAATCGACTCAGAAAGTGATTCTATGAAGGTTCTCAAAAGTAACTATGGGTCTATCTCGTTTCCTTCTCCATGTTACAAACAAATGCACAAAGACATAATACCCTTACCACTATGTGGTGTAGGGTATAAAAACAGAACAAAACAAAAATTCTGGCAAAATTGATTTTCTTCACCCCAATTGAATCAGATTTGAGATAGATTCTTATGAAACCAATATTTGGTTTGATAATAATCAAATACGATTTGTTCTCAAATCGCATTACCGACCATTTTTTCTGAAAAAAAATAAATTTTTCTACCAAAACGTTCTTTAATGCCACTGTCGGCATTGAATATTTAGTGGACTTTTACGAAAGCAATAATTTTCAAAAACAATGTTTTGATAATAATTCACTTCAATTTGTTTTCAAATGGTTTTATTAGAATCGACCATTTATTTTTGCGTTAAATTGTTTTTTTTTTCTACCAAAATCTCCATTTCTCTCTTAAATGTCCCAAAAACAACAACAACAATATTATTGTATTCCAAAGAAAAATTTCAACTTGCCTCATTTGGCAATCGAACACCTAGAAATAATTACCCCCAAAATAGTTCCTAACAATCTTAACTACCCACTAAAATTATTTACAAATTCTAACCCCCCACCCCTACCACAATCTACAACTAAAATCCTCAATCAGAAACCCCCTCCCCCTCTCCTAATTCCACCCCACCCATTTTAGTAAATTAAAGCTCACCTCACCATTACTACAAACGCTGTTATCGTCCAAATGTCCACCGCTGCCATTTTCACTATCGCAATCCTCATTGTCCTGATAATCACTGCTATCATCCAGTTCGGCCCCATGATTCCGTTCCACAGCGGCTGCTCTGGCTGCGGCCGCAGCATTTGCCGCCTGGGCATAATGTTGTTGCATGGCGGCCGCATATTGGGCCACATTGAGACCGTTCGAACCCATTTGTGTTGCACCGACGGGAAATCCATGCATTTTATGACCGGCATTGGGATGCTGTCCGGGCCCTGACGCCGATAATCCTGAGGGGGAAGTGGAATTGGCATGCTGCTGTTGTTGCTGATGATGGGCCAAGGCTGCGGCGGCTGCAGCATGATGACCGGCAATTAATGGCAATGGTTGGTGATGGCCCAGAGCCGGATGTTGAGCATGAGGATGTTGTAATGCCGGGTGCAGGGGATGGGTATTTAAATGATGTGGCGGCGATTGATGATGCGGATGCTGTTGTTGTTGATGCTGCTGTTGTTGTTGCAATGTGGGGGAATGTGATGATTCTCCACTGTTGTTGTTGTTATTATTGTTGTTATGTTGCTGTTGCTGTTTGTAGAAGGCAGCCGCCGCATTGGCAGCCTCAACGGCTGCAGCGGCGGCAGCACTACCCGCCAATATATCATTGATCATAAAACGTGAACGATTCGGTTTAAGATTTGACATTTTCTGATGTTCATTGGCATTAAGGGACGGCGTTAAAATGGTCATTGATTCTTTCATGGCCACCACACTTTTCATGAAAACCTTAATTCACACACACACACACGGATGTTACCAAAATGCAACTTTGGTTTCTTGTCAAAGATATGCTTCAAAACAATTTTTTTTGTTTTAATATTTTTTTTCGATGTTGACACTGTTTTTCTTTAAATATTTCTTTGCGTTTTCTCTTAAACACTTTTCATTGTTTTTTTGTAAAATTGTATTTATTTTTTTCTTGTCACCAATAAATTTGTTTTGGTTATTTCACAAATTTCCAATTATTGTGTTTATATTTCTTTTCTTATTGTTTTCAATTTTCTTTCGTTATTTATTTCGGCTTATTACTTTTTATTTTTACTGTTTTGTCTATTGCGCTTGCAACGTTCACATTCACGTCCAAAACGAAACTAACCGCACCTGCCCAAGTCACAGACACAAAACGTATCTTACAGTTTCAACTTGTGATGACTGAATGAACGTTGAACAAGCTCAAAAACCAGTAATTGCCTACTGGGTTAAGAGTTGGCTGCTCGGATGACTGACTGGCTGGCTTGCTGCCTGGCTCTTTGGAAAAATAGTGGTAGTTGTTGCACACAAAAGAAACAGATATACAAAAACAACAAACAGTGCCAACTGACTTTAACTCAGAGGGTTCAGATTGTGCTGTTAAGCCCAGTCACTTCTAAATGAATGAGAGAATCCACAGTTGTTAATAAACATTGGTGGTGGTGGTAGTTTTTTTGAAATATGTATTTTGTTGTTGTTAATTCTCACATGCGCCCACCAAATATAACTATCTCTTTCTAACTGGTTAGGCCTTAAAAGTTTATAGTGTTTGTTTACTCACACACCAAGACGCCATATTGGTCTGCAATTATACGCCTTTAACACTTCCCACCAATACCAATTGGTAAACAACAACACTTCACTGACGACATTCACGACATTGATGTCTCTGCTCTCATTCTCTTTCAGTCGGCCTGCTCTCAATGAACTCACCACTACTTTGAGAAAACAATGCAAAATCAAGCACTAATTGTTTTTGTTACATTTCATGTTTATTTTACTCATCGTTTTCCCAACAATCAGTCCACCACCAAAAGAGCATTTACTTTTTTAATAAGAGAGGAGAAACTTAAAGGTGAGTATGGTGAAACTGTTGCCGCCATAAAAACCATTGAGAAGCCAAAAGGAGAAAAAGAAAAGTAACTCTGTCCCTAACCCTTAAATCATTTACTGTGTTTTTGGAGAATAACTCACAAAAAACCCAGCAACAACGACATTGAGAGGGGAAAAGTACATTGGATAAATTCACCATCAGTTGTTTTATAGCATCTGCCTGTGATTGTGCAAACATACAAAGTTGTTTAGTTCACAATTAAGGGGCGTTGTGGTAGCTGCTGTAAAGAGCCCATTGCTGGGTTCTCTATTGTTTTTAAATACTGAATAAATTGCGAAATGTGAACCAAAATGGATTAAATACGTAGTAAAATTTATCTAAAAATAAAAATATTATTCTTAGAATAAATGTATGCGCCAATTTTTTCCTCAACTTTTGACAGTGAATGAAAACAATTATTTAATTGTTAATGCATATAATTTTAAAGCACAATAGAAAGAATGTTTCTAATGAAAATTTTCTATTACATGCAATACAAGTTACAATTATTAAATTCACTGTATTTTGCAAAATGTTTTTGAAATTATATTTTTTCTATAAAATCTAGGCATTTCATTCATTTTTCGCGCTATATAATTTTTTATTTAAAGTGAGGAAAAATATGAAAAAAATTAAAACAACTTGTTATATAATCTTTTTTAATGAGACTGACATGAAACGGGCATAGCCTCAGCGCTGTATTTCTGTATTTTTACGAAGCTGTTTTACCTCCTTATTATACCATGTCGGGATGCGAATGATTAGAGTGAGCTATTATTTATCTATTAAGTTTACATTCAATTTCTAAAAAAATTTTAAGTTAAGGATAGTGGCACTATCCAATTGTCGGCATGTCCCTTTGGCATAGATTTGTTTACAAAAAAAAAAATCAATATATATTAGATATTATTATTTTTTATTCATTTAAAAATAATGCCTTGACTCTTGAGATGTTCCAGTTTTAAAATATTCCTAAAAGTGAATAAAAAATTCTAATAATAATTATTTTTACACTAAAATATTTTGGAATATTTTTTTTAATCTTCTTCCAAGTTTAATTTAATACTTGAGATTCTTCAGAAAATAAGAATATCCGTAACTTTTTGATTACTATCAAATGATCCTGAAAAAATTGTCAATATTAATAAAGGCGACGATATGATACCCTACAGTAATGTAATTTGCGAAAAGTAAAAGTAGGTCTAAAGTCCTTTTGAAGTAATCCCTTAAAATATTGGTAATCATAGCTGGACTACTTAACTAATCATTTTAAATATCAGTGTTAGTTCTCTAATTTTCGATTATTAGGGGCTCAAAAATATACTAATTTCTCGTTCGTTAAAAATCCAATATTTTACAGAAACATATGTTCGCTAAAAGAGTATTTCATGTACATGTATATTTTATTCCGATTATAACTAAACAGCTAACCTTTGTGTCCCATTTCCAATTGATACATTCAATTGACATTCAGTTGGTTACTCCTAATACATTCTTTATCAGCAAAAAATTGTATGGCGGTACGTGGATCCGTCTGTCAGCTTCCGAAAGAAAAAAAAAATATTACTCGTCCCTAGAAGTATTGATATTAAAATGAGCCATATAGATCCACTTTTAGTATAGACACGTATATAGAAATTGCCTACATGGGTGAACGTTTTCATTTTCTGTCTATTGTCTGCGTACGTTGATGGAACCAATATGAATATGCCTCTTGTAACTTTAATTTATATTTAAAACAAGTAAGCAAAGGCTATGGTCGTACGGGGCCCACCATGTGATACCTACAATACTACAATATGTTAAAGGTCCCTTATGTCCAAATCCATTTTGGGAGATTTTGTTTTTTTTAAGGATTTTATTTATTTATTTTTTGAAAAATTCCAAATTCGTTGGAGGGTATTCAAAGTTCGGCCCGATTGAACTTACTGCTTTTTAACTTGTTAATTTTCGTATTTTTTTTTTGCCATAAAATATATGGATTTTTTTACCCGCTAAATATTGTCCGATTAAAAAGCAAATTGGTTAGGTTCTGCCCAGCCCTGAACTCTAAATCCATGCAAATGTCCGGGTTGATTGGTTTATAATTGTGGCCTGTAGAGCAACTGCAAATCTGTTTTTGGTCCATTTCAATCTCCAAATTTTTGCGATAATCTCCAAAAACTAAGGGTTCTATTCTGACCCTAACCCCACCTCCATTTTCAATTTCAATTGAGGATCGGGCCACAACTGCGACCTGTAGCGTGATTACAAATTAACATGGGCAGACGGAGGGACGGACATACATAGCTAGAACCACTCAGCTCGGCGAGATAGGAAGATCCATATATACTTTCCTATATGGGAAACCAATATTTCGATATGTTACATAATTTTCGGTCCAATCAAACTTATAATACCCCCAACACAGTGTTGTAGGTTATAAATACAGTATTTAGCTAAAAGATTGTGAAGAGTGCGAAACTATTTTGCGGAACTTTTAAGTTATTCTTATTCTTGAAACGTTAAAGTATATATATATAAAGTAAAGAAAGTCTTAAAGTCGGGCGGGCCGTCTTTATGATATCCTACACCACTTTGCTAATTTAGTAGAGCTCCGCATAACAATTAAAAGTTGATATAGAAGAATTCAATCATACACGCTATGATTATAATTGTAATTTAAAGTTCAAAGGACTAAATAAGCCGAAGCATTTGTATCTTTTAAATTCGGACTTGTATTGCCCATTTGGTGCACAATTAATTTGAAATCGGATAAAGATATATATGGGATCTATATCCAAATCTGAACCGATCTCGATAAAATTTGGCAAAGATATTACTGAGCTGTATTTGATATATTTCCCCAAATATTGTTAATACAGAGTGCATATTACGGCTGCGGAAGACAAAAGTAACAAATCGGATGAAAAATATATATGGGAGCTATAGCTATATCTGAACCGATTTCGATCAAATTTGGCATACTTATTTTGAGATTCAATTTGATCGTACGTGCAAAATTCCATACTATTCGGACTGATAGTACACGTTTGGTGCACAATAAAAGGCAAATCGGACGAGGTTATATATGGAAGCTATATCCAAATCTGAATCGATCTCGATAAAATTTAGCAGATGTATTTCTGAGCTGCATTCGATATATTTCCCCAAATATTGTTGTTACAGAGTGCATATTAAGGCTGTGGGGGGGACAAAAATAACAAATCGGATGAAAAATATATATGGGAGCTCTCAATCAATTTTGGCATACCTATTTTCAGGCCTCATTTGGTTGTATGTGCAAAATTCCATACTATTCGGGCTGATATTACACGTTTGGTGCATAATAAAATGCAAACCGGACGAAGATATATATGGGAGCTATATCTAAAATTTTACTGATTATCTCCGTCCTTGGGCCAAACAAATATTGTTTGGAAAACTTCATCTCAATCGAATAATATTGTTCACAAGAATACATGGACAGACGGACGGACGGACGAACAGACGGGCTGACATGCATAAATCAACTCAGAAAGTGATTCTATGGAGATCCTCAAAAGTAACTATGGGTCTATCTCGCTTCCTTTTCCATTTTACAAACAAATGCACAAAGACATAATACCCTTACCACTATTTTGTGTATGGTATAAAAACGTTGAGGTAGGATACTAAAAAAACTGAAATTGGATTAGAAAGGGAAACTGTTCCACAAAAATATTCCTCAAGGCGTATTCCTCTTGGCGAAATTTCTGTATGAATGTTCCCAAAGGACTTTCACAAGGGATTTTCCACAATTCCTTAAAGCATAGTATTTTTGAAGCATAGTACAATTGAATCAGAATTTTCCCCAAGTCCTAAAGTCTCAATTTCACTAAAAACATGCTTTGGACTTCTTTGTCAATGTTCAGTGTAAACCCTATACTGATATAAAGGCTATCGAATAGCAATAACTCAGCCTACTAATATGAAGTTGGATGAAGTTTTAATATTTCCCCAAATGATGGAAAGTTACGACCCCCTCAAACTCATTAGAGAAAATAATTGAGTCAAGCCTATCGGACCACATCATTAACCATATGTCACTGGATGAAATATTCTCTCTAATTATCCAATAAAAGTGCAAAAATATGACCACGAAATTACCCATCAACTCGTCTTTTTTCTTTGGCGCTCTTAGAAAAGGCACTCTCAAGTAGAACGGAAGTAAAATTCAAATGTTACGCTTTTCACACAACAATTAAAGATCCATCCTTTAATAGGGCAAAAACTATAGGCCATGATGACTATTCTCCCGTAGACCAATGGAACCATCGGAAACAAAAGTTCAATGGCAATTTGTCCACCAAATTGCGGTCGAACTTCTAAGACAATTGATTGATTTGCTTGGCCAACA